CTCGTGTGGAGCAGGTGATATTGGCCTCACAGAGTGAGCCCTTTCGAAACACATCTCGGAACATTACCCTGACTGGCTGTCCAAAGAATTACAGAATTCAGTCAAAAGCTCAATCTTCGAGCATGTAGTCAATTCCGGCTACTCCATTTCACCAGAAACCTCCTTCAGAATTATACGTCCAGTCATAAGAGTTGGCGCAATACGGATGCAAATGAAAAACTTATATATGGCAGAGTCTATTGTTATCCACGAGTTTAAGCCTAATTTTGCGTACAAAAACAGTACGTTCCATTCCTCATTCTCCTATGACTCTAACTTCCCTTTCTATCCTCCATAATCCATCGTTTTTATTCATTATTAATCACTATCCTTCCTACTCCTTTCCAATTATTTTCACAATTATTAAATAGCAAGTATCAAAACTTTTAATTATTCTGTTCTCAATAACTATCAAGTGAACAATTATTCCACCTCACCACTTTTCCACTAGCCAATTATTACATAACTTCCTCTCAATATCTGATTTCCAAATCTTGACAACATACCATTTCAAGTTTTTTAACTAATTAACACCTTTCTATCTCGCTATAGAACACTATTTTAGTCAATAAAATTGACTATAAATACGATTTAACAGCTTAAGTAAATGAGATCATCGAAAAGAATTTTTTGCTAAATTGCTTCCCTTTTTTGATGTGGCAGACTTAGCAGATAAAAATAGCTACTAACCATTTCCTGACGTCATCATTCTATCCATTTACATTTTTGTCACCCATCATACTGCCATCAGTTGTTGAGCAGAGTCGTAGCTCATTCTCGTTAAAATTGCCTTCATACGTAATTCATAACTTGTTGTAAAGATCCACTAACTTAGATAGAGTTCTCTTCCTGCCATATTAAACTGAGTATTTTGATAAACTATAATGTCGTTACATTTCATTAACTGTCTAGCGAATCCCTTCTACAACACAAAATTAATGCTTTCTTCTTCAGAATGATGAATTTTCCAACTGCTTACACCTTACAAGTATTCAAGGAATGACATATACGAGAACAAATCAATGCACGATCAGATGTTAAGTAGTTACTCAAATAATACCAATAAGCTCTCACCGTTCCTATTTGATTTATAACAATATGATTTAATTGTGCTCAGAAACAGATTGACGTTAATGGTTATTGAATAGGACACTTTTTCTCCTTCCCGATACTTAAAGTTATGAACGATTTGCTAATGGGATGAGACCGTAAAAGACGATAATTCTCATCGGTTTGCCATCATGGAATTTCAAGATGCTTTTCCGGTTAAGCTCTTTACCCACATATTTAAGTCAATCCCATGTATGACTACATCTGTATACTTGATTTTTTGAATTTAAACTGATACCTTTTGATACAATTCAGGCCAGTTGTTGCCTGGACTGCAGTCAGTAGGAAAGTGTGTAGGCGGAGAGTACAAATAGGCATTATTGTGAGTCCACTATCTTTACAAGTTTCTATAGAAACATTCGGTAAGAAAATTCGCATGTGGTAATCATCTGATATCCAGATATCTTGCAAAAAACGAATATTATCTATATGGTTTATATAATCCTCATAGTACAATAGCCTTTAACTAAAATGGCACCACACCATTTTCCATCCAGATTGACAAACATTCTACCTTCAATATATCTTTCTAGAAATTCAATTGTTACAACAATAAATTTTTTCTTAAGGATTTCTTTAAAAAGGACCGAATGTATTCGGTTGGAATCATTTTGTAGGTATGCTTTATAATTTACTGCTTCTTATGTATCTATACTTTGTTAAGTGTGCATTAACACACTAAACTCAAGATCAAGGAGGAAGACGAAAAATGAATCCAACTGCACTGTTGAGACCGGTTTCCAGTCATATCGTCCAAGGTAACCAACCATGGATTACAACTATCATATAATTGTAAACTAGGATGCATAAAGTTCCCTTGAACAGTTCAGAATATCATTCGACAACTTGAAATTCAAGTTAACATTCAAATAATAACGATTGTTTTGGATATGATAAATTTCGTTCATAACAGTATGTCATTTAATTAATGATAAAGTGTTTATCTTTTTTCGCATTTTCAACAGGATTTTGAGAAGGAAGTAAAAGAATTAAACCGATTACTTGATCAATACAATCTATTAGTCCCTAGTCATCAAATGCAGCGTTTTCATTTGAATAGTAAGACAGCTATTGACCAACTGATGAAAGCTAAACAATCACACACGAATGAGCAAAACAAACGTGATCCTACTACGACTCAAAATGAAAGCAAAGACGGCGTACCACAAACCGAGGATAACAATCAGAGTTTATGGGATCCCCGCTATATGGCTGAAGTAATGCGCGACTTTTACCGTGAATTGGCTAGGTCATGGGCGAGTATTCTACGAGGCTTTAAAGATCATAAATAACACCTTGTATTACTCTAAAATATTGCTGTTTATGTATATTCATATCACAGCTAACAAGTATTCTAAATCAACTTATAGTTCAAATAGGCTAAATTAACAAAGCAATCTCTCGTAAAGTAATGAAAAAACATTCGTATGTTTCACACTTTTTTCTCATCAACTTTAATCTTCATTTCATTAAAGTAAAAAAAAACTAGCTGAATCTGATCGTGTACAAAAAATCGTTGACGTGAAATCAATCATAAAAAACTAATATCAACTGCATAACCAATGACGGTAGGCCATGACACATAAAGGACTATCGATTTTTCTATTTTAAGACATGCAAATTTTGTTCAATTCACAGATTTTGAGTTGTTTGACTAGACTGAATTGAGGCGACTAAGAAATGATAGGAATCTCATATTTTGAAATAAAATAAAAATCAACTCTTGAGAAAGGAGACGTGTAACTATGAGGTCAAATTAAACTTAAAAGCAAACACTAATGGTGGTAGTAAAGTACAAGTTGTCCAACAGTAAACACGTTCGCCATGGGATTTTAGGTGCAGTATTTGAGGCTGTCAAGAATGATCAGCTATTGAAAGTATCATATCAAAAAGCAATATCAATCCTGAGCTTCATTGTATTTAAATATTTTCCTCTTCAAAGAATCAGTATCTCATCTTGTCACTCATAATACAAAAGTTTTCTTACACAATCATTTCCCAAGGTAAGTGCTAGACAGAGTAGGATTAATTCGTCGTAAAGAAGTAGTTATGATAAAGTCATATGAAGGAATGCTTGAAATATAAATCAAGTAATAATAATAATATACAAATAGAAATTATGTCTCAAGCTTCCAAGAACCTACTGCAGACGTTTACTACTCACTGTTTATCTTACACCAGCTATCTGACCTAATGATTGTAACTCATTCTTTACCAGAGTCATTCAACAACTTTAACAGGGCTCCACTGTGAATGTACATCGGTGACTAGAGTATTATTTACTTACGACTGCTACAATTTGTGGAGCATAGACTATCAACCAGGATCCTCCAACCAACTCTGGACTGCGCCCTCCACTCTAACTGTTTCTGATCACTATCCATTCTTTTGATGTCTGCCTCCTCTTCCCGATGCAATGTGTTCTTAGGTCTTCCTCTTTCCCTTTTCCTTTCAGAATTCCAAATTAGTGCTTGCTGCATGATGCAGTGTGATGATTTCCGCAAGGTATGTCCTACTCACCTCCAGCGTTTCTTCTTAATTTCCTCTCAAGCTGAAAGCTGGCTTATTCTCTGACATAGTAGGTTGTTCCTGGTGGTGTCTGGCCAGAGGATATAGAGCATATTGTGGAAACAGCTGTTTATAGATACGTGTATCATTATAGTGATGATTGTAGTTCTACAAGTTTCAGCTCCGTACAATAGGACTCTTTTGATGTCTTCACTGAAAATTCTGACTTTGGTGTTAGCTGATGGTTCTCTTGAGTTCCAGATGCTCGTCAGTTGTAGGAATCCTGTCCTTGCTTTTCCGATCCGTGCCTTCACATCTGCATCAGTTCCTCCTTGTTTATCAATGATGCTTCCCAAATACGTGAAACTTTCCACATCTTCCAGAGCTTCTCCATTAAGTGTGATTGGGTTGGTGCTCGCTGTATTGTATTTCAGGATTTTGCTTTTCCCCTTGTGTATGTTGAGGCCTACTGATGCAGGAGCTGCTGCTACACTGACCGTCTTCCCCTTCGTTTGTTCTTGTGTATGGAATGGAAGAGCTAGGCGATCTGCGAAATCCGAATCGTCTGGTTACATTCAAGCTGTTCATTGTATTCCATGCTCCCCGTGAGATGTGTAGGTCTTCATAATCCAGTCGACAACCAGAAGGAAAACATCGTGAGTAGGCAACCTTGTCCACCATATTTATGTCACGTCTACAGACGCTAATCGCTAACTGACTAAGTATGTTTTAAGCAGACTACATCACTACATGGTAAGACTATATCGCCTGTACACTCAACGTTGAAAAGCCTTTCTCTGAGCAAAAGATATTTACCACTACGCAAAGATATGGAGTAGTAGTGATTTAGAACAAACTTACCCAACTGTATTGTTCATTTTTAGTGGAAAAGTGTGGCTGTATCATCTCACTTTACTTGAATTATTTATGTGTCCAGTTTTCAATATGTTGACGGAGGAAACAAATCCCCATTATGTACATTCATGTCACATAAAGTGAAATGAGTTAACTGCTAGGTAAAAAAAACCAGTCGCTTTAACTATACAAAGAACGAGAGATTAGCCCATCACATAATTTACATAGCACTACGAACGTTTACCTTATGTCATGTGCGAAGTATGCATGACAATGTTTAGGATAAATTATAGTCTGATTACTTATCGAATAAATTATGCAGCAGATAGGAATGGAACCTGTAAGTAGAAGTGAACATAGTCACTTTTGTATGCATAAGATCAGTTAACTTCAGAAAGAATAAAGAGATCATTGCACAAGATAACATATCTATATTTCGCAAAATATTTACAAAATTAAACAGAAATTCAATAAGGATTGAATTGCCATCATCGAGCTTCGAAAACACTCACTAAAATAAAGGAAAGTTTAGATCGATTAAACGATAAGAATACAAAAATGTCAGATTGTCTGAAGTTAATGTTTATTTAAACCAAAAAACTCATTTAAGCATACTGCAAGTCAAAGTTTTAGGAGTTGAAGGTATTATATGAAGGAACAGAAATACTCAGTTGTTTTGATGAGCGTATTTGTATCGGAAGAAGGACACTTATAAATTGTTTGCCATATCAACTATCTTTGGATGCATTTATACCATCTTCAAATTTTTATGCATCATGACACTGAGAGTGAATAATTTCCATGTAAACTGCCAAAATCACAGTATAAAGGAGGAGAACTTATAAATTACATAGAGGTTTGTAGGAAATAAAGTTACCACTAAGTATAGTCGAAATCCGAAGTTAAATGATAGTGAATGTTTCTTAATACTTGCATGACTAACCTAACTTTCGAAACTTATAAATCTCGTCAGAGAATGATTGTGAACAGTGGTGGGTAGCGAAAGCAAGAGAGATGGAAAAGGCAGCGGCAATAGGTAATAGCAGACAACTGTTCAGACTTGTTAAGGAAACCAGTATTAGCAACCCGAATGTTGGCGAAACTATCTCAGAGAAAGATGGACATATTATTCATTCTCAATCCAGGAGATTGGATCGATGGGTAGAACACTTTAGGGACCAGTTCAATTGGCCTTCAACCACACTTTTGTTTCCCACGATCTCCAGTCAACCTGAATGGCAAGTTAATGTAGGTCCTCCAACTCTTTACGAGGTTGAAAAATCTATAGGAAATCTGAAGCGAGGGAAAGCAACAGACCCTGACAGGTTTACTCCTGAGATTTCTAAGGATGGTGGTCCAGTATTAGCAGTGAGATTGACTGAGATCTTAGGTAGAATTTGGGGACTGGACGTAATCCCATCTGACTGGTCTCAATCACTGATTGTGCCAGTTTTTAAGAAAGGACAAAAGTCCTCTTGTGGCAATCACAGAGGAATCAGTTTGACTAATATAGTGTCTAAAATATTAGCTTCAATAATACTTCGACGCCTAACCAAAGCTCGTGAAGAACAGACTAGAGAAAACCAGGCTGGTTTTCGACCTGGACGTGGTTGTATAGACCAGATATTCACACTACGTCAGGTTCTAGAACACAGACACACATTCAGACGCCCCACAATAGTAGTATTTCTCGACCTTAAGGCAGCATTCGACTCTGTTGATCGTGAGGTTCTATGGCAATGTTTGTCACTGAAAGGAGTACCAAAGTACATTAACCTTGTAAAGGCTCTCTACTCGAACACAACTGGTCGAGTGAGAGCTTATGGTGAACTGTCATCAGAATTGATTACCTCAAGTGGTGTTCGTCAGGGCAGTCCACTCTCTATTCTTAACTTTGTCGTTGACTTGCTTTTAGAGATGACACTTCCCTCATCTAGATTTCCAGGGGTTGAACTTCTACCGGGAGATCCTGTTATATCCCGATAAGAATAATGAATGGTAATTCTTGGGATCCATTTATGGACCAATGCTATGAGTATATTTTTATCGTATAATTGTTATGTAACTAAACTGTTCATATTCATGTTGCTCTTATCATAAGCTTTAATTTGACCCATAGACTGTTACTATACGATTTACCATTCTTGATTTATGGCCTGTCTATTAATTACTATCTCTCTCATTCACAGCCACTTTTGGCCAAATATTGTACAAATGTTATATTCTATTTTATGGTACATTGTGGTCGGTTTGATTGGTATATAAACCCCGTATGTTTGAAATAATTGATTCATATCGCAGAGGCTGAGACTTGCGTTCTGGACCTAACTGGCTGGGCTAGACAGGGAGCGAGATTAATCAGAACTCTAGGCTGCTCGCATGTGTTTTATGCGCCACTGGTTCGATCGATAATTCGCTGCTCTCTGATTGGCGGTATCGTTGCGTTATCCAATATACAGGGCACACAGATTCACAAGTTATAACAGATCCAATTGTTGACTTAGAATATGCCGATGACATAGTTTTATTTGGTGAAGACGCTGACAAATGCAGAGTCTTCTGACCACTCTAAGCAACAATGCAAGCATGTTCGGGATACGATTCTCCCCCTGGAAACCCAAAATGTTGCTTCAGGATTGGGTTGCAACGACACCCGAACTAATGATAGGGAGTGAAGTAGTTGGGTGTATCGACCGCTTCACTTATCTTGGAAGTCTCATTAGCCCTTGTGGTCTGGTGTGTGACGAAATCTCAGCACGGATACAGAAGGCTCGACTAGCTCTTGCCAACTTGCGTCATTTATGGCGTAGGCGAGATATCCGTCTATCAACCAAAGGACGTGTTTACTGCGTAGCAGTTCGTTCTGTCCTACTTTATGGCAGTGAAACATGGCCGGTAAGAGTAGAGGATATTCATAGGTTACTAGTATTCGATCACAAGTGTCTTCGAAACATCGCTCGTATATCCTGGGACCACCAAGTAAGTAATACAGTTGTTAGGAAACGGGTACTAGGTAAGGATGGCAAATCAATTGATGTGGTGAAACTTCATCAGGTGAAATGGCTGAGACACCTTATATATGCCCAACCACCGATTGCCCCTATGAGCGATGTTTTCTGGTGTGGGAGTAGGTTGGAAGAAAGCTGGGAGAGGCCAGACCAAAACATGGCACAAATCCCATGAAGTCACTGACAAGTGGACTGAGCCATGTTGGTAGGTGTAGACTATCTGGTTGGGGACCGCGAGATGATAGCAACCGATGGTTAGAGACCTTGAATGACATGGCTCAAAATCGTTTGCAAGGGTGCAGGTGCATCCACTCTTTTTGTTCTCCCAAATTCTAATCTTCTGAATTCTCCTTGTCTCTTTTTTTCTCTTCCCAAGTTTATTTCAGTAGATTGTACTCCTTGATTAGCATCTTCAAGCCCTAATGTTTCCGATTACTGCTTATACTCTTACTACCTCTACCACTACGGGATTTGAATCGACAACTGCATTTCTGTGCTAATGTGGTATGGCAACTCGAACTGATGTACGTACGTATGAAGTTCTACGTTGTTACTGACTGACTCGCCAGAGTATCCAGGAGAATGATACAGGGGGATAAAATTTGGGGGGATACAGCCGAAGATCGAAGCGACCAGTGATCTGAACAATACTTTGATGTAGCTCGATCGTTTAGTACAAGTTTATGCACTCAGATTTCAGCTACATTATGTGTGAGGGTTCGAGTCTGTGACTTACTTGTTGGAAAGCGAGTTCTATAACCAACCAGTCACCACTTAACAAAATGACCAAGATATGTCAATCCCTCAAAATATCTGATTCGTTGTCTTTCATTCATTTGACCAACATAATTTTTAACCCTATATTGTTACGAATTATAACAACGTTAATTTCTTGAGTTTTCTGGTAAACAATCCTGTGCATAGTCCCCGTTACTTAACATGAATATGAAGTTCAAATTCAAAAATACATTTCAAGAAATTGTAAATAAACTATTAACGTAGAAGGGGGCTCTAAACTACTGTAATCTGTGTGACAGGTAGATGCACAAATTAAAAGCATTACATAAGTTTATTAGCTTATGCTGTCACAATTTACAACAGCACACAATAGGAAAACAAACAAAAACAGGAAGCCATTAAAATCAAAAATTCACATAAGTTGAAAATGGGAATTCATTCATAGGTTATAAAATTTAAGGGATTAAGAGTGAATAGACCTCTACCATTCTAATCTACTGTGAGTTATTATAGCATTTAGGGTCTCTAACCAATGATTTTCATCATACAGAGAACGTTTCAAAAATCTGGGTCTATGCGTTTAAATCAACCGTTAGTAAGTTTATGAGGTGATATTACGTTGTTGTTGGAGGTGCAGATCCAGAACATTGTTAACTGATTTGCCATTTTTATCTAAAACACCGTGCCTAGCTTCAACACTGCTGACCCAGTTATCCTGAGTTCAAGAGCTAAGACAAGATAAGTAATGAGTGCATTTGAGCTATTGGAACCGATATGGAGTCATGTAATTTTCCTTCAAAATACAGATAATGATTACTTCACAAATCCTAACCGGCAGGTTTATTGTTTAGTGCAACTTACCAAACACGTTTATCAGCTTGTTTTGAATCGCTCTATTTTGTGTGTGCGCCGGTAATACTACCGTCTAACCTATGGCTCAATGGTTGAAAGTCGAAAACTGTAAACACTAAGTAATCGCTCATTACATGATTTAGACAAATAGTCGATGGTCTCATAGTGTGATTATACATGGCCTGACCACTTTTCACACTTTACCAATATAAAAACAATATGCTGACATGAAACTGTTATGAAATTTTGTCAGACGTAAAATAATAATATTTGGGACTATTGAGAATTGTTTCATACAAAAAGTTGGTAGAGAAAGGGCTTCTACTTCTCTTACTTCGTTTTGACCGTTTCTTGTATAAAACTCTGTGTCCACACTCAAGACAGCGAACAAGTTCTCTGGGTCGAATTTCATTTTCAGCCCGACATTCTATAATTAATTAGACCAACACATACAAGCCATCATCAAAGATAATACAAAAAATTTGGCATGGATATAGAAAAAAATACACTTTATAACTGTTAAAATAGAGCAAACATTTTAGTGAAACTGTTTTTCATGACCAGGTTCTTAAAAGCTATAAACTCATATCTATATGGAATATTGTGGTGAACAAGTTTTAGACATTGGTATGCCTGTGTGTAATTAGTTCATGGGATACAATTCATATTAATAGATAAAATAGATTAACAAATGAATCGTCAAATTGATTCGAAAATAAAGGACACCAAACTCAAAACCAAAGACATAACTAAAATATGAGAAACTGTGACATGATTCTCGAAGTAGGTAAATGAAAATTAGTTGAATTATTAATTTCACTTATTATACCATTATGGTGTTATGTCTGAATGCAATAAACTGATAACAAAATCAACAAAGCAAAACGTGTAGGAAAATACAGGAATATAAAAAAACCAGGGCCATAACAGAGAAAATATTTTTTGCAAACTGTTTCTGTGTACATATCTTGCTTTAGTCTGAGTATCCTCAGTATTTTTGTAACAAAAAAGTGTTTACACCTTTCAGTAGATTTGGTTTAATTTTACAAATGATTTTGAATGATAGGTCGAATAATTCGTGTTTGTCGTCGATCAAATGTTCCAGAATAAATTGTGTACTTCCACATGGTTTTTCAATGAGCTACACTGGTAAGTGCTCTTTTACACGTAAGAAAAGGGTCCTTATATTTGCATAGGATGAAGTCCAACTGACGAAATCCAGTGAACAAAAGGATAATATCCCAAGTGTGGTTGCTTATCTTTAAAGTGAATCCTTTGTAACAGCTTTGCGTCGTATATTGCTAGATCTGAGAAATTTTAATCACTGTACATTTTTATTGACTGCCAAATTATAAACGATAGAGAATACTCTGATTCATCAATGCTAGTTGTTGGTATCAAAACGTCAGCCATGGAAGTAGTGTTGCTCCCAAAGTTTAAATTTACCCATCCTCTGCTATATGTGTTTATTTGCAACCGATTGGCGGCTTAGAGAGTAATTTTGAGGTTCAAATTTTGTTTATCAAATGCGGTGAATGGTATCATCCTAGTTACCCCGTGTTAATCAGAAACTACATACCGGTTATCCTATCGGTAACATGCAGAAGACGACTATCTTGAAGGTTTTGGTCGGCGACCAGAGTCAGTAATCATTGGCTGTTGTGTTTCTCTGGCTCTTAATACCAAACTGAGAGTGACGTGTAGTGTCTAACACTAGTTCTAGTTTTGCATCCTAATCTTTTCTTAAAATTTGAACGCGATGTTCTGTTTAGTCGTACTTGTGCCACATATTTTACTAATGTATTAACCATTTCCTTCAACTCTTTAAGTTGGTCGTTTGATGTGACAGTATTGGAACTACTGTTGGCGTTTTCAAACATTCGTACATCCTGTCAGTGATTACTGGGAGCCTGTCCACATTGACTTCTTGTTCACTAAACATTGAAATCTGCTGGATGTTTCGTAGACTCCTTAGCCATAATTGATAGAGCGAAGGCAGGTCAACCTGTCGATTGCTTAAAATGTTTAGCATGTGCCACTTTAGCTGAGACGGTGTACTATTTCCTAGTTGTACATTAGGCAATTGTTGCTTAAGCGTTAGATAGCCAGAGAGACCAGTTGCTGTAACAACTTTTGGTTTTAGGACACGATATGGTGAGTTTGATTTTAATACAATGCTGACTTGCTCGATATCTCATACGGTAGTACAGAGTATTAATAATTCTATGCGCGGAAAAAATTCTTCCAAGCCCAACAAACCATAAAGCGGAGTTGTATGCTTTAAAAGCCGTTACGGGCAGAGGACCGGTTTTGGGAAGTATAAGAAAAGATTCTTGGGACAATGAGAAAAGGAATATAGGACACAATAGTGAACATAAAAGGAATAAGTAAAACGCAAATAAGCGGTAAGAATGTTCGCCGAATTGTGCTTCTAAATGTGAGTTTATGAATAGTAATGTGATATGGCAGTTCTACATGTTGTGAGATTGACAGTGGACAAACAGACGAACACGTAAAAACACCTAGAGTCATAAATAACCGTAAATTATATACCAATAACCCACTATTGTATATGAATAACTATGGATTATGTCTATACATCGCGTTATAACAAACAATCTACTCACAATTAATTCCATAACCAAAAGACTCAAACAACCGAAAAATCAATTAAAATAATAGAAAGTTCTAAAAAATTCAGTGATTATAAAAACGACTAACGAGGTCCAATAATCATAGTGAGTGTGCTTGAAAACCGGTATCATTTAGCTGAATCTGAAGGATTTATGGTCAGTTTGCTAGTTACAGTTAATGTAGAATCCACTAGAAACATTACCGGCTCAAATTGGCAAAACACGCCAGGCCAGTCCAACAAGGATGAAATGAATAGGGTGAAAATCAAAACGGTAAATGATAAATCAGGATTGAAACATAGAGATGAAAAACAAAGGTTATAGTGGAGTGAATGAATTTAGAGGGCATGAAGTCAGAAAAGATTGGTAAGTTATGGTATTAGGAAATAAACCAAACAGTATGCAATCAACTTTGAGATCATCCGACTCCTCAAATAATAAATGACTACATTACGGACTCTAATTAGTAAGCCACATCTATAAAGATAGCCTACATTGATAACCAGGAGAACCGAGAACTGATATCATTTTTGCATTTGACTGCTTGCTACTACACATATCTAGCGCGAAAAATCTTACATACTGGCTAAAGAGATGGGCAGTCTAGTGCTTGAAACCATATTAGTACAAATGCAGCAGGCATGGCAACAGAAAACCATTCATACACATTAGGCATCTTATCATTCACAACATAGTCACCACAAACAAACAATAAGTGGGAAAATATATTGAAAAATAAAGAAAAAATAATTGGGAAACGCACCTAAATGTTTGCTTTTTCGCCTGTCAGGTGGGAAATAAAGTGAATTTAAATGTTGATGAATTGTCTACTTTTCACCTAAATATACGCCGATTCATCTAGTTTCTCTTCAATTTTTAACACACCTTTGGCCTAACCCCAAACGTCTCCTGTGTTCGCATTTATTTCCATAACAAACCACACGACAACTGCAATTGACGTTAAAGATGGTACATGTTTAAAGAAATCTATTGGAAAGTAAAAAGCGTCATATTGTACAACATAATGAGTAGCTGACAGATGCCAGAGCATTGATCGTTACGTATTTTAATTGTAATTACCGAGTTTTGTTGTAATTTGAAAAGAAAGGACAGGTTATGTGTTACTAATTAGGCACGTGTACTTAATTATAAGTGGATTTAAAAGCAAACAGGTTTTCTCAACACTCATTCAGAGTTTCCCGTGCAAGTCAAGAGATAAGCGCATGTTTAAAAAAACGTTTATTGGAAACGAAGTTGAACGTGAAGAATATTCCACTGGTAATGGCTTTCTGTAACGTCTGTTGGACTATTGAGAAGCAAAGTAATCTCGTGAATTCTAAAATTTAAGATATGTTGAACTTTGGTTGTGTACTTGTGATTTTGATACTTTGGATTTGTATATTAATGTAGATGGACCTTCTATTTCAAGGAGCTCTAGTCAACACTTATGGCCTGTACTAGGACGCACCGTTGCCCGAAGGTTCAGCGACGTGTTCATGATAGGTACTTATGGAGGGAATACTAAGCCGATAGAATTCAACAAAATATCTGCGGACGCCATTTCTGAATTAAAAGAAATGACAGATATAGGTATGCTTAGTGTGAAGCTCAATAAATACATAGCTATTAAGTTGGCTGCTGTAATATGATACGCACCTGTTCATTCTGGTTAATCACAATGGAAAGGCAGGTGTACTGTATTTGGTCGACGGCTTGACGGAAAGATGACGTTTCCAAATGATGAATATACGTTGCAAACTGATGACGGCTTTCGTCAGCAGACTCAACCTATTCGCCATCAAGGCCATTCCATTTTAGAAGTGCTTCCGATTAATATGATCTCAACATTTCCATTAGATCCGATGAACATGGTATACTTAGGTGTGGCGAAGAATCTAGTCAATTCATAGATAAAGTTTCCTCACAAACGACTAAGAAACATGAACCACAGGTGTAATTAGGGATATAAATAAGTTAATATATAGTTGCGTGGCAAGTAATCCCTCCAACGTCCAGTCTAAATGCCGCACATTAGACTTCGTCTCAGTATGGAAAACTTCAGAGTGTCGATTGTTTCTTCTAATATTTAGGTCCCGTAATTCTTCAACAAAGTTTGCCGCAACCCTTGTACCTTAATTTCAGGCGTTTGGCTTTGTCGATTTATTTGTTAGCACACCCAGGATTACATAATAGCGCTACAGATTCCGTCAGAATAGATTTACTAAACTTTCTTAAGGAATATGAATGGTGTTATGGGCCTGAAAACTTAGTTTAGAATGTGCATTTGTTGCGGCACCTTCCTGACGATGTTCGTGCTGAAGAGGTCAGTACAATAATCTTACTAACCTTCTGTAGAGCTGCATTGAAACGGAAGGAAGGGTTTCTTTACATTTCCGTTGACATGGATGTGGCCGAGATTTAGGCGACAAATTTGCAAATCAACAAAATTAATAGGATCATTTGTTCGTATTGCAGATGACCATGTAGACACGGTTAATGAATGATAACCCTCAAACGTCTACACACTATATTTTGTCATACGTTATGACACCGGGGGTTGCCAGCCATTTCACACTTCATCGAAAAGAGCACTTCAGAAGTGCAGATTTTACGGCTGCATAAGTAAGAAATTTTTTGAACTTCAGGAGCATTAACGAATCGGTTCCTACCTCATCCGCTAACGATAAAGACCTTGCGAAACTGTATGATATCACGACGCAAGGGTACTTACACAACACGAGACAAAATACAAAAGCGTCATTGAAAACAAAGATATGTAGGTACTAATTTGAAGTGATAACTATTTCCTACTGTCCTATATGTACAGTGTTCAGTGTTAACGAACATAACCGTAAGTAAAAGTTCATATAGATATTTGTTTAAAAAACAATAGCAGTTAGATATCAATGTCATGTTTTGTGTTCATTAAATTTTAGGATTCACGAGATTACTTTGCTTCTCAATAGTCCAACAGGCGTTACAGAAAGCCATTACCAGTGGAATATTCTTCACGTTCAACTTCGTTTCCAATAAACGTTTTTTTAAACATGCGCTTATCTCTTAACTTGCACGGGAAACTCTGAATGAGTGTTGAGAAAACCTGTTTGCTTTTAAATCCACTTATAATTAAGTACACGTGCCTAATTAGTAACACATAACCTGTCCTTTCTTTTCAAATTACAACAAAACTCGGTAATTACAATTAAAATACGTAACGATCAATGCTCTAGCATCTGTCAGCTACTCATTATGTTGTACAATATGACACTTTTTACTTTCCAATAGATTTCTTTAAACATGTACCATCTTTAACGTCGATTGCAGTTGTCGTGTGGTTTGTTATGGAAATAAATGCGAACACAGGAGACGTTTGGGGTTAGGCCAAAGGTGTGTTAAAAATTGAAGAGAAACTAGATGAATCGGCGTATATTTAGGTGAAAAGTAGACAATTCATCAACATTTAAATTCACTTTATTTCCCACCTGACAGGCGAAAAAGCAAACATTTAGGTGCGTTTCCCAATTATTTTTTCTTTATTTTTCAATATATTTTTCGGTTGTTTGCGACCAGATCGTATCTAACTACCGGCTTGTCAGTCCAACTAACTTTGTCGTTAAGTTGCTTGAAAAGATAATTCGGGTTAGGTTGCTAAACCACATAGATTGACACAATCTGTTAGCTCCTGAGCAACATGGATTTCGTAACAAGTGTCCATGCTTGACTAACTTACTTATTGCGAGAGAGGATTGGACAGCAGCATTAGATAAAAGCCTGTCTGTCGATGTGATATTCATAGATTTTAGCAAAGCATTTGACAAGGTCTCACACTTAGGTCTTATGCAGAAGCTCACGAGCTTCGGAATAATGGGTACTGTACAGGAGTGGATAGGTAACTTCTTATGTGACCGCAGACAGAGAGTAAGGGTCAATGGGACGCTATCCGATTGGAAGCCAGTCAAAAGTGGTGTACTTCAAGGCACCATCTTAGGCCCTCTGCTCTTCCTTCTCTACGTTAATGCGTTACCGCTGTTTCTTAGGTCGTCGACATTATTGTTGGCGGATGACGTAAAAATCTGGAGAACAATAAAAAATGAAGCTGATCATCTGGATTCTCAAGCTGACTTAGACGATTTAGTTAGATGGGCTCGATGTTGGGGCTTAGAAATCAATCCTAGGAAGTGTGCTAATGCACATCGGTCACGGTAATAGTTACCATTATACTATTGATGGTAAACCTCTTCCATGCGTTCAAGAGCATAAGGACTTAGGAGTAATAATAAGTCATGACTTAAAAACAACTACACATTGCAGCGCAGCCGCTATCCAAGGTTTTCATGCCTTATGTTCACTTCTCCGAGCGTTCAAATCTTTTGACGAGGAAATGTTTCGAATTTTATATCCCACCTACGTAAGACCACATTCAAAGTACTGTATCTAAGCAGCTAGCCCATGTCTGGCGAAGGATACTAACTCACTTAAGCGTTTCCAGCGTGTGGGAACGAAATTAGTGAAGGGTCTTTCTAAACTCCCTTACGATGAGCGTTTAAAACGCTTAAACCTTTTCCCCTTGTCGTATCGTAGGACGCGGTGAGCTTATACTGGCATTTCGTATCTTTGACTATGATTTGGGTGTTAATATGTTTTATCTTTTTGCTCCCTCCAGCACTAATAATCTCCGAGGTCATAGCAAGAAGGTTTATAAACCGCGATCTAATCAACTTAAAGTGGGGTCTCGTTTTTCTCACCGAGTAGTCAATGATTGGAACGCCTTGCCCGAACAAGTGGTATCGGCCCCATCAGTGAATATTTTCAAGGAGAAACTGGACCTTCAATGGAAGGCTATCTGTCAGGATTAACACAGGTTCACCAACCTACTATCTTTATTACTGAAGACTGAACTAGCTTTCCAGTCAAGATTTTGAAGGCAAGCGTCTACCCCTGTTCAAAACCCTCCCTTACCAGAAAATATGCTGTCAACTTTTTTCTGACAATAAGCTAGACATACAGACCAACAAACAGAGAAATGACAAGTCATTACCCAAGATGTGACTCACCTCCGCATATATACGAAACAGTTTTTGACAAGTGAGTTACAGGATTTGCCGCTGGCGTGGCACCACTCCCACTTCTACTCTCCATTTATGATTCTACGAGCTATTACCGTAGAGAGCTCTGGGTCAGTAGAACACCACAGTGAGGCGCGACAGTTGTATCTCGCGCCGGATGTGCCGAAGGACAGAAAGTCAAGGTTTGAGCCATGAAATGTTTTAGTGTTAAAAAACGGGATTAAGACCTCTTTGATTTTCGTTGTAATAAGTCTGGCCGTTCAGGTAAAACAGCCTTCCAGAATAATATGTTTAGTTTCGGAGTTGCTTTCGGAAATTGAGCTCCTGGGAATAGCATTTGTGATATGACGTGTCGGAAATTTGATTAATATTTATAAAAGTATATATATCACATAACATCAGTCGCGGTATTCTTTCACAGTAATCTAGGAAAGTCGGGGATAAAACATCAAAAGAAATTAAGGAAAAATGCATCGAATGAGAAGATAGGGTTGTGTATGTAGCGCCAAATAAATCCCCAAAATAAATACTTCAGTCAGCCTACGACATTGATTCTAACTCCACCGAATTTACTGGACATCCTATCTGAAGGCGCTTGGTCACACATTCATACCAGATCGCGAGTAGGTACTCCGTTATGCGCATCCCTTACAACTGCTAATCAGCTTAGATCAAACGCTTCTCGTAATAGTGATAACTTTCCGAATATAACTTTGAGCCCCTTCTTTTCTGACCTTTCATTTGACTGGGTTGGTATGCTTTGACTGTTAAAGTGTTACATGTAAAGAAGTTGTCAAACTCCGAATGCCTGTGGCATCTTTCGAGGTGAAATCGGCGTGATCTGCTACCACAGACAGTGAAGTGTGAGCCCAACTAAAGAAACGCAACCCATTACTGTTAATCCTTATTTCCACCTCAACCTTCTCAATCGGTTTTTATTTTTGTAAACCCAGTATTCTAATAGTCCTTTGATTAATTGTCACATATATTATCGTAATGTTATATCTGTTAGTTCACATAACTTACTAGCTCAATCGATAATAAAAGTTGATCATCTATATCAACTAATTAGCTTTGATGGTTCGTTAACAAGCTTTAATAGCATTTACATGCTTCAGCGACATAGACTTGTTTAAACATCAAGCTCTAGCAAATATGACCTGCAAATAACGCAAATATGCCTTGACTAACAATGCAGCAAGGACTAAATAGTTACCTGGATCAAATATTCAGTGTTCCTTATCTTATCACCTCATCCTGTTTTAAACTATGCACTATCCTGTAATATCTTTTCTTCCGACCACTGCCTGCCTAATTTCAAATTTTCGAGTTCCATTGCCAGACAACAAGGATGACACTTCTCCAAAATCATACGGTGAGTTTCAGCCATAAGTTTTCTGCAATCATAAAGTCATTTTAGATGACTCGTTCAATGGCAACCACGCAATTACCTGGATTCATTCGATTGTTCTGATCCGAGAGAGTGGCAAAAACGCCAACAGCATCAAGCACCCTAGAATTAATTGCCATACTGCATGTTCTTTCTGGATTTTTTTTGGATCATTACTACTCACGAGTGGCGTTGTATGTGTCGTCCACTGAATAATCTAATTTTCAAAAATAATCCAGGCGAGTTCAACTATTTTACTAGATGATTTTTTTGTACTTAACATGTATATGTTTTCCAGTTGCTCTTGCCATATATTTGTAAGTGTCCCTAGGCTAAATGCAGTAACTTCTTATGGAAGGTTTATAACGCATCATATTCCTGCCTGAAGCTTTACAAGCAGTCTTAACTTTAAAATTATTTATCTGGTCATGTTCATTATTTTTAAATTGTCATATACGTCAACAACCTGCTTGTCAACCTGGCCCGCACATACGTTACACTATATCTTCATGTCTTCTAAATTTAGGAATCATCTGAATCGCCTTTAACATTTATCAATAAACCCATCGTAGTCGTTGTCGCTAATCGTATTTGGGTTTATGGATTGATTTATCATATTCGCAGCCTAAAATGCGAACATAGTTTAGATAATAAGATTAAAAATTTAGGTACTATCAACTGTACTAGTAAAATAACTAAATCCCCAGGTAGCTGTTGGCTAAACAAACGTTTAAAATCAAAACTTCGTAGCCTACTAGAATTATCACTAAACGAATATTTCTGAATTGAAATTTATAATTAAATTAGGTGTCTCGGATTCTTTAACGTAATAAATTTCTGATGATTTCGAACCACCTAAAGCAAGAATACCTATTTTTCCAATGACTAATCCTCAATCAACACTATAACTAGTTAAATTTGATAGTTTCAGGATATCGTCATAAAGCATTGTCATAACTTGACAATCACGTAATATGACTGATAAAATTAATGAAACTGTTAACGAAATCGGTCAACAAATTGACTTATAATTACCATTAAATGATGTTGTTTTCTTGGTATCTTCATCCATCACAGATGATTACAGTATGTTTCTCTCTCAGTTGCTCATTCAGTAAATATCTCAAAGCCTTGTCAGTCTAATTGATGGTTTAGCGACACAATAATGTATGCAAATAATCAATATAAGCAGTCGAGCAAATCTCCTGCAAACTGAAAACATCAATGTCGAATTTACCCCAACACTGACTAAGGTTCAAGCCATTATCATAGACATGAGTTGGGAGTGTACTCCCCCTGGTTACAACTTGTGTTCTTCCTGATAATCACATGAGCATCTCTCACTGTTAATCATCTTGTAAAAGCTTATTTAGCCGAATACATCCTGCAGCACCACATCACCTAGTAATATGACACATAGGCCTAACTGATTTCAATAACTTATAACCACTATATCTCAATTAAATCGTATTCCGCCTCATGATAAACTGCATACTTGCAACTAACTTGTATGCCCAAACAGCCAGCAAGTATAAATATAAATAAATAGTCTGCCGCAGATCAGAACATTGAGTCCAGAGCATGTCTCTTACGAACACACTCATGTTTAACGATTTGTTCTTAGCTATCTGTCCAAAATTCATATAATTATCGCTCATGTATTGAAATTTTATTTTGATAACCATTCATGTGTATTAGTAGTATTACTAAATTCTATCACGGTCAAGTAAAAATGAGGTTGAGAAAATCTCCCCGTAACTAAATAAACCGTATCAAACTAACTGGAACACTAGTTGGAATTCTTCTCCACGGTATACTTTTGTTCTTTCAGTTAGCCTACTAATACAGATGCAATTGGAAATCACATATGGACGGGTTACCGGCATAATTGTTAATTGGTTTCATAATTTAAACCAAAACTAATACCAATATTAACATTTCTACAATATTCATTACTTTAATATTTCTAAACACAAAATACTTACTACCTATATGTCAAGTTATTAACCAACGGCTATTAACACGCATTGTTTTATTATTATTACTGTAATCCCATTTTTTTATAGCTCAAATAATCTTCACTCAAGTTGTCATTTTAAGCGTGTCAAGCATGAAGGCAGATTTTTTTTTAAAAAAATTATTACATGTATTTCCCGACCAGATGCTGCCGCTTTCTTTTTGATTTATCTTTCAGCTTATCATTACCCGGGGGATTCTTCCTAGTCTTGGTAACCTTCGGCGCACGACGATCCCATCCAATTCGGTATCGAACCAACATCACGTTGATTCTGGTGGGAGAGTAGTGTAGTGGCATTGAACAATAACCGCACAATCCACAATGCTGAACACGAGACTACTCAGAAAATAGATATTCAATATTTAACGCGGATAAATACCTAACAATGGAGAAGGCGCGAAGAAAGAATTGAATGGACTGGAGTTGATCGAGTGGCATGGCTCGGCCATGCAGGCGTGGTCTCTGCTGAATGTTACCTTATATCTTCTATTCATATTAAATATATTGTTCCTTCTCTAGCCTAACCTTGTTCTACATCATGTATTGGTAATTGATACGATACAGTGAGCTGGTGTAGTCGATGGTGTGACTTCCACGTAAGATCTTATAGGTTAGGCAGTTATATCATGACAAATCTACAAATTTAGGATTAGGCCTATTGTAAGAGCAGTACTAATATCATAGTAGACCATAATTCTACAAGTCTATTCCTTGTTGGGACATTTTTTTATTTTCACATATTGTGATATCGTTTTCATATTTTTCCGATATTTCTCCTCATCAACTAGTGTATATTGTATTCATAATAACAATGACAATAATAATATATTTCTACATGAGCAGGTACACGCCATTTTTACAGGCATGGTCTACAAATTACAAAATTTATTGTCTAATTTTTTTTCTTTTTTTTGTCCATCCGATGCCAGCCGCACAACCGTAGTGTAAAAGTCCGAGTTAGCATGTTATAGGTTGTCTTAGTAGAATGGCTTATTCAGCATAAAATCGGAAACACGAGTCTGAGTGGTGAGCGTAAGAACACAATTTATACCACAGATTGATCGACTTATCCTCAATCATAAAGAGCCTGATACAAACAAAGTGTTCTGCCCCACAAACATGGGTGGACTGAAGTCATCGCTCTCACCATCAATGCTTGCTGTTCAGTAACTCAACCCTCCCTCCTTTCGTGATGTTAGGGTCATTCAAGCTTATTTTTGGATATATGTCATGCCTCACACAATCCTCTGTATCTCATGATGGAACAGACACCTGAGCTGTTAAAGACTAAGACTCTTTTGCGTCCCACATTTCCAAGCATGCCAGACAATTTTGAAGCCTGCTGCTACTTCTCAGAACCTACTGCAGACGTTTACTACTCACTGTTTATCTTAAACCAGCTATCTGACCTAATGATTGTAACTCATTCTTTACCAGAGTTATTCAACAACTTTAACAGGGCTCAACTGTGAATGTACATCGGTGACTAGAGTATTATTTACTTATGACTGCTACAATTTGTGGAGCATAGACTATCAACCAGGATCCTCCAACCAACTCTGGACTGCGCCCTCCACTCCAACTGTTTCTGATCACTATCCATTCTTTTGATGTCTGTCTCCTCTTCCCGATGCAATGTGTTTCAGAATTCCAAATTAGTGCTTGT